CACTGCAAACAAGCTGAAGACCAGGCTCCTCCCCTGCATAAGGCATGAATTCCTGGTAGCTACACCCCTGTCCCTCAGTGCACATTGTGGGCCTTTAGTTGAGCCACTCTACATTGATTTATTTCCCTTACTGCACACGTATTAAGGGACAGAATTTTTTTACCAAGGGCATGTTTAGGGAAGTCCCCCATGCACAATGATCTGGACGGGTGAGAGGTTCTCTGGGAACCCTTTCCTATCTGTCTAGGCAACTGGCTGTCTCATGTCTCTACTGATAAGAGGCAGGAAGTGATGGGTTCATTTCTGGCAACCAAAATGGCAAACCTTCTCACATGATCTTGGAAAAGGAAGTAAGAATTTTGAACAGAAATCGCTTCAATAGCTGACATACAGGCATAGCAAGTTGAACAAGCTATTGATCAGGACCAGAGTAGCAACCACATAATAAACTGCAGGTGCTGCCTCTATTTTGTGATCAGCTGCTTACCTGTGGCCTCTTGACAAACAGCAGGCAACATTTTATCAAAATTCCAAACACCTGAATGATAGGCACAACTACAGGTTTGGGTACTACTTCAGCATGTTAGGTAAATGAAAAGCCCCAAAGCACAGTGGTTCAATAACAACCATTTTTTTTTCTTTTTCCTCACAATGTTGTGGGTTGGCTGAGCTTAACAGAGAGTTTCTTCTGATACTCTTGCTTGGGGTATCTCAGGAGGCTGCATTCAGATGGGATGTGGCTGTGACTGGACAGTCAAAATGACCTCTCATCCTCCAGAACCGGAGGCTTCAAACCAAAAGCCCCTAAGCAAATCCAAGCCATGCTCAGTTTTTGTACTGCCATGAGCAGTAGTTTCTACATTTTTGGTAATTAAATCACTTTTACATTTTTTAATCATCGAAAAAAACTCAAAAGAAAAATACTTTGTGAAATGTGAAAATTATATGAAATTCAAATTTCAGTGTCCAAAAAGTTTTATTGGAACATAACCACACCACGCTCATTCACTTATGCGCTTTTCCACAACAGTGACCGCGCTGAGTGTTTGTGACAATCACAGAGGCCACATGGCCCACAAAGCCAAAAGTACTGACTGTCTGCTGTTTAGAGATTCTGCTGGCCCCTTCTCCAGGGACTCTGTCCACAGACATCTCTCTCTTTTTTTTTTTTTTTTTTTTTTTTTTTTGAGATGGAGTTTTGCTCTTGTCGCCCAAGCTGGAGTACAATGGTGCAATCTCGGCTCACTGCAAACTGCCTCCTGGATTCAAGCAATTCTCCTGCCTCAGCCTCCCAAGCAGCTGGGATTAGAGGCATGTGCCACCACACCTGGCTAATTTTTTTTGTTGTTAATTTTTGGTAGAGACTGGGTTTCACCATGTTGGCCAGGTTGGTCTCGAACTCCTGACCTCAGGTGAGCCACCTGCCTTGGCCTTCCAAAGTGCTGGGATTACAGGAATGAGCCACTGCACCCAGCCCACAGACATCTCTTCATTCAGTAATCTAACATGGGGGCTTGCTCTCAAGAGTGATGTTCCAAGAAGACAAGCCCCATTGTGCAAATACTCATTCTTACCTCTGCCTGCATAAAGCTTGCTAACATGCCATTGGCCAAATTATGTCACACAGCTAACCCAAAGTCATGTGGGTGGCTGTTAACACTGGGATGTGTGTGGCTCATTGGAGGTCACTGAAGTAAAACCTACCATAGTTACTGAGTAAGTCAGTCAAATTCTTGGTTTATTGGACAGCTGATAGCTGTAAGAAGGACGCTGTGTTAAAGGAAATGAATTCAACCTAATAACATTAACAATAAATGGATTTTAACCATTAACTTCCATTAATAATGGTTCTGATTAGAGCGCAAGATGACCTAGTGAAATGAGAGTTCCCTTATCCCCCTTGCAGGGCCTGCAATAAATTTATTTATTTGAAACTCTGTCTCAAATAAATAAATAAATAATGCTGAAAATGAATAAATAGTATTCCTGTCCTTAAAGATCTCCCAGCCTGGTAGAGAGATGGGTAAGTAAACGGTGTGGTGCAGGGACTGATACTGACCATTGATGGGCACAAAGTATTATGGGAACACAGTATTTTTTATTATAAACAATCAGATAACAGTGTAAGTGTGCATCTGATGGATAATCGAAGCCAAGTTATTATAATAGAAAGCATAACTTTGCTCAAATAGAAACTTTCTTTGTTGTTGTTGAACTGTTTTACACTAATTTGAATTTAACATATGCCAGGATCACCTAAACTTGTCATGTATTTCTGCTATTAAAATCCTAACAGGGAAAGACAAAATGTGAAATGCACGTTATATTTTATTTTATTTGTTGAATATACATATATACATACACTAAATATTTGGGACACATTCAAAGTTAAGCAGGCGCTCAAAGCCTATTGAGTGATATTTACGAAATGTTTTTGTTGCTGTTACAGGAACATCCATATCCTTAAAAGACAATATACGAAGGAGGATTCTAAATGCTAGGTGGCTGGCTAACTTTTCCTGATTTATACTGAGTGTAAAACAAAACAAAACATAAAGTATTTGTGTTAAATAGTGGCATCTTTATAGTTTCCAAGCACTGGCAACTATAAAAAAATATCATCCAGCTAAAACAAACTTTTCATACCTTGATTTTTTAACAGAAAAACAATAAACCAACAACAAAAACTGGTAAATGTTCTGGGTCTTGTGAGCAGATCCAAATGTTACTACAGTGTTCTCTATTGCGTGATCCTTGTCCGTTGTCCGTGGCAACCTTAAACATGTGCTACAGTGCTCATGTATTTACAGGCTTAGCACGTCTTCTTTATTAGTTATCCTGGAGAGGATGCTATTCATTTTTTTTTAATTGTCTGCCTCAAGAAATGAGTGCTAAATGACCACATTTGGAAGCCTGAAGTCAAATACTGCATCATTTTTTGAAACTTCTGGTAGCAAAAAAAAAAAAAGAAAAAAAAAAGCCAATTAAAATATGATTATGTTACAGTGACTAAAGGGTTAACTTCTCATCAATTCTAAATTCTTCAAATTTTACAAGCATCTTAATAAAGGCTTTTGATGAGACATGATATGATGATCATATGTGCCAATTTAATAATTTATTTGTCACAGAAAATTCAGGTTCACTGCAATATTGTGTCCTGGCTTCCCAAAGCCGCATGGAAATGCAAGTTTTTTGTTTGATTTTTGTTTAGAGACTAGAGTGTCTTCACCCAGGCTGGAATGCAGTCATGTGGTCACAGTTCACTGCAGCCTCAAACTACTGGGCTCAGGTGATCCTCCTGCGTTGGCCTCCCAAAGTGCTGGGATTACAGCCACTGCGGACTGTTTTTTGGTTTTGATGTCATTTATGAACCACCAGTTTAGATTAATTAGGTAAAGATGTAAGATTACCAGAGGATAAGTTAGATAGCTGGTCAAGAGACAATGAAAGCTATGTTTGACCTCTGAAGCAAAAGCTATGTTGAAGTTCTCCCACGGAATGGTTCCCATATGAGATTCACCATATTAATGTCTTTTCCAAGAAAAAGGGAGATATCGAATTCTTGGAAATAGGGAAGCAAGGGAAGAAAAAAAAAAAAAAACACCTTTGAGACATGGTAAAAAAAGTAGCATTTATACCAGGAATCCATTACCTGGTTTTGCAGAAGAGTAGGGAAATTTTAAAAAAAAGCAGAGATAAGAAATCAATTACATTCTTTCAAGCGAAAGACAGACTGTATTATTTTGTTTTGTTTTACAAGTTCTGAAACATGAAGATGTCTGTGCAAACAGATTCACTTAGATTCTTGGCTCCATGAGGGCTGGGATGTCTCTTATTTACATTTGATTCTACAGTACCTAACATTGTACCTGACACCTACAGGTAGGTGCACAATACATAGATGATGAACCAATAAACTACATATTTTTCTAAACACTACATGTGCCACCTAGTTTCAATGTAAAATGTAATAATTCTTTTCTATTGTGTATATATGAAAGTTTCTATTAGATAACACTAGTCATTATAAGAGGTGACAGTAGTAGCTCAGTTATATATCTTTATCACATGATCATTTCTACCTTGAATACAATTTAATGAGAAAACTACCATGTGCACTAGAGCTAGAAAGAGTTGAGACAAAATGTATTAATGAAGAAACTTCTTGGATTACTGAAGTGCTGTCTGTTACAAGCATAACAGCCATCTTAAATTATACTTTTTTTAAGAAGGTGTGAAATATTTTTCCAAGCAACGCAGTGTTACTACATGGCAAATATATACGTATATATATATATGAAAGTACCTAGAAATTTGGGGGATTTTCCTCCATCATCTAAAGTAAAATAAGAACAAGTTTTTAATAGTGTGTATATTTTTAAAAGATGTCTTATTATTTGGTACTACTGCTTCCCAGAAATTATAGATGATTATAAAATTATTATAACTTGGGAATTTATTTCCAGGTATGAGACTTTAGATAAACTTAATCACTGGAGATACTAGGTTAAATAATTCATTGATCCAATAATGTATCTGGATTTTCTCAAAGTCCTTACTGTTGCTTTAGTAATCTGCAGAGTTAATACTTGCCAAAAGGCAGAAAAACGTGGCAAAGGAGTGCCTTCCCCAGGAGACTTGAACGTGGGAAGATGAGAAAGTGTAAGTCGACGGACGTGTGATGCTTTTCTCCAACCTTTGGTTTCACCTGCCTCTTGACGCAGGACTGAAACACATGCTATTCTGGCACGCTGTGCAGACTCAAAGTTTGCAGGATGGCCTGACACGAACAACCAGGACAACAGGAATCCGATCTCCTCTGTGGAAAGCAGGTGTCTCCCTGGGTGGCTCCTGGACCAAGTTCTGGTCTTATATTGTAATTTGGGAAACAGCATTTCATGGAATTTTCATATTCATTTTTCCATATTAGACTCTGTTTTTACAGTGGTAGACGGAGGGAACATGACTTTTTGGCTTCACAGTTTTTCTTCTTTTCTGATCACAGTTTGGTTAAAATGTACCACTGAGTATCAGCACAGCAGCCCAGTTATGGGTATGTCAGCCTTAGAAGTCAAGTTTCTATGACTTATCTCATAGAATTCATTGTCCAAGCTTATTTTATTTCTTGTCCATAGCACTGAAGTGACATCATTTAAACTGTAGGGGCTTCACTGCTTTGTTTCATCTGAGTGTTATTTGCTCTAGTGCCGCTAATTCCTGACTTTTGCTGCATAAACAGTTTCAGTACTTCTGTGAGGCCACACAACATGCTTTATGATGACACAGCTGACTAAAGCTGCCTTTTCTTCTGCTAACACCCTTCAAACACTTTTGACAATATTGCCCCTCAATTGTTTCCTCCCACAAAAGCTGCCGACGACAGCAAAGGCACAAAAGGCCTGCTTTTCCAATCGCATTGCACTGGTGTCAGGTTAACTAGCAAGCACAAAACAAACGGTGGTTAAAAAAAAAATAGGAATAGTATACCTTCTATGTATTTACACATGTTTGTAGAAACTTCAGTTAGTTGCAAATCTGAAATGATACAAGCCACTCCCTGCAATAGCCTCTATCCTATGGAAACACAGCTTAAGACATGACTGTTAAGACACTGAAGAAATGGGGTTATGTGGAGAGCCCATCTGCGTCAGAACTTTGTCCAGCCACTGCAGCGGCCCATGAAGATGAATCTCAATCCAGCAGGGGGTGCTGGTGACATCCTGGCGATGGTACTCAGCGCCCCAACCCTGAAAAACAAGAAAGAAGCTGAGTGATGGTGGCACACTTAAACTCAGTCTCCAGAGCCCCACACAGAGCCCCTCAGCTCACACCCAGGGTAGCTCCTGAGACCTGAGAGGAAGAGAACATGGCCTCTACGTTCCTGTAAACACAGGACAACTCTTGCACCAACCAGATGCCTTCAGATGAACTCAAATCAGTGCACTCCCTCAGGGTTCACAACTGAATATCTGGACCTGGAGAGGTTCTGGAACTCGTCACATGGGAAGCACTGACAAATATTTTTCCTTTCCACAAAGGAAGAAACTTGACCTTTTGTTCCCTGCTTCATGCCTAGGACAGTGTTTTACACAAAATGGCTACTGCAGACCAGTGAACAGACCTGAAAGGCGTAAAGAGAGAACTGGAAGGTGGGCTTGGATTTTCAGGGCTAATTATCAAAGCTTGCTTGTTCTCTCTCTCTCTCTCTCTCTCTCTCTCTCTCTCTCTCTCTCTCTGGCTCACTTGGCAATTTCCCTTTTATTACTATTCAAAGGAGAGACAGTAAAATTTTTTTAAAATTTTGCGTATTTTTCTCTGTATGTTACACATCAATGAAAAGATATTTTAAATTGAAGGGAGATCACAGCCAAGTAAATTAGTTTTGTGACTGGGAGCAGTGATTCTCTGCACAGTTTTTTAAAACTTGGATTTCAACACAACCATGCTGCCTGATTACATTTTACATTCGTGACTGGGAACCTCAAGTGAACCTGTGATGTCCCCAGCACATAGCCACAACCCACCCCCCAGTCCCTTCTCTCACGTCCCCCTCTAGGTGACCACTCCTCCCCACCAAAACCACCAACCCCTTTATCCCTGTCCACATCTGCAACTGATGAATTTATTTTGTATTTTCATGAGAAAAATGAAGACATCAGAAATGAGTTTCCATAGCGTCTGCACCCACATACTCGGCCTTTCTACCTCTTACCACAGATTAATTATCTGTGTTTCCAAATAAGCTGGTCCACCCATTTATGCACTCTCAGACCCGTCTTCCTAGATACATCATTCCAGCAAGTCTTCCCCTTGTCTCCTGCAATCTACTGTATCAGTCCCATCAACATATGAACACGCTGAAATATCTTCCATCTTGAAGACACTTCTCTACCCCCAGCCGCTACTGCCCTAAGTCTTCATCCCACTTCCAGCAAAAACCCTCAGAAGAGTCATCCATACTAGTTGTCTCAAATTGTCTCCTTCCACTCTGTCTTAAATCCATTCTGATAATCATTTCACTGCAGCTGCCAACCAAACTTTTCTTGTCAAGATAAAAAAAGACCTTCATATTGTTAAAGTGAATGATCAGCTCTCAGTCTCTGTGTTACGTGGGTAGCATTTGATTTAGTTAATCACACCTTCTCATCAATGTATGTCTTTTCTTGGCTTCCAAAGCACCATACTTCTTGGTCTTACTCTACCTCACTGGTTGGTCTTTCTCAGTTTTCTTTGCTGATTCTTTCTCTTCTGTTCCATCTTTAAATGCTGAAGCGTCCCACGGCTCAGTCCTAGAGCCCCGTCTTCTCTGTTTATTTTCATTTATTATTTATTTATTTAGAGATGGAGTCTGACTCTGCCACCAGGCTGGAGTGCAATGGTACAATCTGGACTAACTGCAACCTCTGCCTCCCATGTGGTTGCCAGGTTCAAGCGAGTCTCCTGCCTCAGCCTCCCAAGTAGTTGAGATCACAGGCACACGCCACCACGCCTGCCTAATTTTTGTATTTTTAGTAGATACGGGGTTTTACCATGTTGGCCAAGCTGGTTTTGAACTCCTGACCTGAAGTGATCCATCCACCTCAGCCTCCCAAAGTGCTAGGATTACAGGCGTGAGCCACCATGCCTGGCCCTCTCGGTTTAAACTCAAACCTTTGGTGTTCTCATCCAGACTTAGGTAGTTAAATATTGCCCTTTTGCTGACAATTCCCAAATTTTTATTTTGAGGCCAAACCTCTCTCCCCAAATCCAGACTCTTATATGGAACTGGCTACTCACAACCCCACTTGAATGTGGATACACATCTCAATACACCTGCATCTTCTCCATCTTGATTGAAGGCAAACTACCTTCACCTTCCTAACTCTTTCTCACTCCTGCATCTAATCTGCCTTCACAATTCAGACTCCTTCCACTTCTCACAACCCGTACTGGAACTCTCCAGGTGGGAGCGCCTCTCACCTGAATATTGCAATAGCCTCCTAACTGGTTTCCCTACTTGCAACCTGGCCTGTATAATACTTATCCTCCACACAGAAGGCAGGGAAATCCTTTAAAAACAGAATCAGATCATGAAAATGGTTGCTCCGATCCCTGCAAAAGCTCACCAGCTCCTTAGAGTCGCCGCTGAGCTCCTGGCAGTGGCTCAGGAGGCCTTGCTGTGGTTCCCTGAGGCTGCTCTTGTCTCCCTCACCCTACCCATTAGGCCCCAGCCATACTGCCCTGTTCGTTCCTCAGAGGCTCCAGGCATATGCTCTTGCCTTGCTCTTCCCTCTGTTTTTGCTCTTCTGCCTGAGGCACCTGGGCCTAGCTCCATGTCTCCTTCCAGTCTCCGCTGACCTGTCACCTTTTCAGTGAGGCCCACCCTGATGTGCAGATGACTCCACCGCCCAGTGCTCCAATTCCCCTCACCCCTGCCTAGACTTTCTCTTTCCATCCACCTTCTTTGTTATGGCTGTTGTTTATTATCTGTCTCTCCCTCCTAGAATACTGGTTCCCTGAGGCCAGAGATCTGTGAGAAATCATTGGTACGTCCCACAGCCTGGCCTGATACATGGCAGGTGCGCAATAAATACTTGTTGACTGACTGAATGAGTCCTAGAATCAGTAAAAATCAGAGCTGAAAGAAACCTTCAAGAGATCTGATGTATCAGCCTAGTAGTAGCCACCAGTGTTTGCTCATCTACAATTTTATTTAAACTGATCATCTATAGTTATATTTACTAGGGATTTATTTTAAATTTCCTGCAGTATTAGGAACAGTTTGTCTTATGTATCAACTGCGTGGCTTTATGAATTTAAATGCTGCCTATCTGAGAAATGTATCTAGTTATCAGGAAAATCAGATTTCTATATAAGCTTATATTTAATTATAGTGAAATAACTACCTATGAGATATTGGCATTTCATCCTAATTTTAAAAACATAGACCTGAAAAACAAAAACTGTATGATTCAAATGATGCCCTCTGCTGGTTCTAAAGCAACAGAACATTCTAAAAGATTTCCAAGTTATCTGTCAACATAACTTTCTAATATATGTTTTTAAAATATTAAATTTAAATGAAACTGCTTTGTCACTATGAAAGAGAAATGATTTCAAGCAGCTGTTTTTTTAATTAGAAACTATATTGTTCTTTCTCTGTAAATAATTACTAAGATTATAAACAATAAAAACATAATTTACAGAAAAGTATTTGTTATGGTAATTTTAAAGTGCAAATAAAATTTATTTTGAAAAAACAACACCTGGACCAAGCCATGCTGATTCCTTGGATGGCTGCATGCCAGTATGAAAATGTCATATATACCCAGGTAGTCTGATAAACAAGTCCAGATTTTGAAATATTAGACTGATTTGTGAGTACTTTGCAACAGATAAAATGGCAGGTGATGAAGCTGAAGGCTTTCGCTTCCATACACAAACCCAGTTGTTTTTCCTTCTCACTAAGAAACTACCTTGGTTCTCCAGCCTTCATAGCAACCTTAACAAGACTCAATATGAGAAATTCAACAAATACTCATTAACAGAACACAAACTGCTCTCAGAATTAGTCACACCCGCCTGTTGTTTCCATTTCAAATTATTTATATCTTTATAACAGCATTTAATTTATTGTCTTGTAGTCGAGCCGATCCCGCCTATTTGTAGCTTATTCATGAACATTATCTACCCCATGTGCCTGAACGCTTTTTTTTTTTTTTTTTTTTTTTTTTTTTTTGAGACAGAGTTTCGCTCTTATTACCCAGGCTGGAGTGCAATGGCGCGATCTCGGCTCACCGCAACCTCCGCCTCCTGGGTTCAGGCAATTCTCCTGCCTCAGCCGCCTGAGTAGCTGGGATTACAGGCACGCACCACCATGCCCAGCTGATTTTTTGTATTTTTAGTAGAGACGGGGTTTCACCATGTTGACCGGGATGGTCTCGATCTCTTGACCTCGTGATCCACCTGCCTCGGCCTCCCAAAGTGCTGGGATTACAGGCTTGAGCCACCGCACCCGGCTTTTTTTTTTTTTTTTTTTTTTTGAGAAGGAGTCTTACTCTTGTTGTCCAGGCTGGAGTGCAATAGCGCCATCTCAGCTCACTGCAACCTCTGCCTCCTGGGTTCAAGAAATTCTCCTGCCTCAGCCTCCCAAGTAGTTGGGATTACAGACACCCATCACCATGCCTGGCTAATTTTTGTATTTTTAGTAGAGAAAGGGATTTCACCATGTTGGTCAGGCTGGTCTCAAACTCCTGACCTCACGTGATCCGCCTGTCTCAGCCTCCCAAAGTGCTGGGATTACGCCCAGCCTGCCTGTATGCTTTCTAAGAATAAAGATAGTATCTTACTGAATTCAGATAAATTCACCAACATTTACTAAGTGATAATAGTGCTTGGCAATTTGAAGGACAGAAAAATCTCTGTTGCATTAGTCCTATAAAATTGCTGTTGTTACATAATGTCATCTGCATTAAAAACAACCAGCTACCTTACTTGTTTTTCCTCAAAAGAATTTTCATATAATTACTAAACAAGAATTTTCATATAACTGCTAAACAAGTTATACGTAAGAATTTTCATATAACTGCTAAACAAGACAGTTCATACTCAAAGAGGAACTCCTCCTAAAAACAACAGAATTCAATAAAAATTGGTTTTTGTCTATCTGAATTGACTGCGGAACTGCCGCATCAGTCAGGGTGCTTTTTTTGTTTTGTTTCGTTTTTCACGGGACATTTTATAAACTGGTAGCAAGCACTCCTTACCTTAACAAAGCTCATCCGGATGGTGCACATCTTCGTCAGCTCATACACAACTTCAAAGCCGTGGTGAACTGACTGGGCCAGGAGCTGAGCGAAGAGCTGGTTGTTGAAGACTTTGAGGCTGCAGCCGCTGGGGATCTTGCAGACGGTGGCCGGGTGGAAGCCGTGTTGATAGTTGCAGTTCCGGCTCTGCACAAAGATGCTGCTGTCACTCACGCACTCGGCATACACCTCTCCCCCGACGTAATACAAGTGCACACCTGCAGACACAAAAACACTGCCTTCCTCCACTGCCCTTTCATAGCGTGCCTCCCCCACTGACTCCTGAAACCCTAAGAGATGTGACTCCCTCCTATTACGTTGGTTGTCAGATCACTGATCACATGAATGACATGTGTGACCTAAATGCCACTTAGTTTCATTGTAATCTATGCTTTTTCCACAAATTCACTTAAAAGTGGACTGCGGCTGGGCACAGTGGCTCATGACTATAACCCCAGCACTTTGGAAGGCCGAAGTGGATAGATCATTTGAGGTCGGGAGTTCAAGACTAGCCTGGCCAACATGATGAAACCCCTTCTCTACTAAAAATACAAAAATTAGCCAGGCATGGTGGTGGGCACCTGTAATCCCAGCTACTCAGGAGGCTGAGGCAAGAGAACTGCTTGAATCTGGGAGGCGAAGGCTGCAGTGAGCCAAGGTAGCACCACTGAACTCCAGCCTGGGTGCCAGAGTGAGACGTCATCTCAAAAAAATAAATAAATAAAAATAAAAACAAAAAGTGGATTGCAACCTATGTTAACGACCACTACCAAGAACCAATCAGTAATGTCTCATATACTATTTCTCCCATCACTCCTGTTTATTGGTTCCAAAAATAAGGTTTTATAATATTAGAAATGAAGTGAATATGTCATGCAAAACATCAAATAATCCTTTGTGTACATATACAAATTTTAAAATTTAAAGCTGGACAGTTAATATCATGAAAATGTTACTTAAGTGCACACATTAAACCCACTTCAGAGGAAACAATGATGCTTTAAATATTTACCAAACTTATAAATCTGTTTCTCTTAACAAATACCTCAGAGACCTATTTCACTTACAAGTTTGCCATCCACTAATATATCATATAAACAATGTCTATTTTTAATTTGTGAACAGTGAAATTTCTACCACATTTTCAGATACAGTAATATAAAAACTCATAAGCAAAATGTAGCCTTTATCACTTTATCTAACATTCTTGGAATTAAAGTTCAAAAGAGCATCCTGAGGCTGGACGCTCACACCTGTAATCCCAGCATTTTGGGAGGCTGAGATGGGTGAATTACTTGAGATCAGGAGTTCGAGACCAGCCTGGCCAACATGGTAAAACCCTGTCTCTACTAAAAAATACAAAAATTAGTTGGGCACGGTGACACACACTTGTAATGCCAGCTACTCAGGAGGCGGAGGCCGCAGTGAGCAGAAATCACACCACTACTGCACTCCAGACTGGGTGACAGAGTGAGAGTCCATCTCAAAAAAAGAAAAAAAAAAAGAAAGAAAAGAAAAGAAAGAAACACATCCTGAAAATGTTGTTGCTCCTGCTAATTTCCATCCCAAATTAAATTTTAGTTGATTCTTTCCCTCCAAATGTCTGGGTTTGAGATTTAATATAATATATAGCAAAGGGGCTGATGTTGGAAAAAAATGAAGAAACTCTAGTCTAGTGAATATTAAGTATCAGAACAATTTTACTCCAACTTTTGATGGGGAAAAAAGTCTCCAGCACTAAAAGTCAATATGATGATACATAGATTCACCGTTCAGTTAAAAGGTGTTTGTAGAAACAATCCAGAATATACTTACACATTTGGGGTCTCCTCAAAATGAAACTGTGAAACTTTGAAAGATCAGAACTTACAGGCTTCCAGGGCTGCTCAGGGCCCAGTGGGCGTAACTTTGAATTTAGAAAACGTTACTGATGGAGCTGCTGGGAGTTTCTTTGGTCAGGTCCTAAGCAGCACTTGAGGCAGTTCTGCATTATATGTGACTACATCCCACCATATTTATTGTTTCCTTTTCCCTTAATAAAATTTGAGAAAAGAACAATTTTAAGTAGTATGTATCCCAGCCAATCACTCTGAGGAAACTGACCCAGGGGTGCCCAGCTAAAGCCCAGCCTGGATACCCAGGCCACGGCTGTCTTGCCACTGCCTCTCCTCTTCCTCAGCCAGAGGCTGGCTCCCCTTCTCCGCTGCTCTCAGCCTTCCTCTCCCTTCTCTTTCTCCTCGCTGCTGCTCTCCTGAATGGCCTTGGGCCCAGGCGGTGGTACCAGGGGGCAAAAGGATGGTCCTAACTGGCCGGGAGAGTTACTTGGCTGGGCTCCTATGATCATAAAGAGAATGCTATGCTGGGGCAAAATGCAAGCACCGCTTCCTACAACAGCCCCTGTGGGCTCCAAAGGGGAAAGGCCTGCCTCGTGGGGGTGGGTGGAGGCTTTTTCAAGAGGGAAAGTAGAAGGAGCCAGAGTGGAGTACTAAGGATTTGGTCAGTATTAGAATTGAATGACCTTCAAATATATAATCCTTTTAAAACCTATTCCATAAAATAAATATGATTTATTATGAGTCTGGTCTTTGGGGGGTGGTTTTCAATCCTGTTAAGGGCATCTGCAACCACAGCCCACTTTGGCAAAGCTACAAAGGCAGAGAAGAGTCTGGGCAGGTAGGCAGTCATCCAGCATCCTGAGAGACACGAGCAGAGCCAATGGGACGAGCACACGGAGTCCTCCCTGAATACCAGGAAAAGGCGGAACCCAGCCTCAGGTTGAAGGAGGCCAGATTCTGGCTAGAGACACCGGCATCAGAGGAAGAGTCAAGTAGCCCAAGGATGTGATTTGTATCCATTTGGTAGGCTAATAGCAGCTTTAAACTCTAGTATCAGATTCAAGATCACCACAGAGTAGAGCAGTGGTTCTTAAACCTGAGCTTGTACCAAGACCACTTGCAGGGCTTATTAAAACAGATCACGAGTTCAGTGGGTCCAGAGTGAAGCTGGACGACCTGCACTTCTAATAGTTCCCAGGTGAGCCCAATTTGGCTGCCTCACTGCGCCACTCCCTGGCAACTACTGGATTGAGGCTCAGGCTATGTTTACAGACCAGCCTCGGGAATTGGAAGGGTTGGACAAAGTAAGTGTGTGATGCTTGGCAACTACTATCAGACAAAGACAAAAGTTTCAAGAAATTCAGTATCCCACTCTGCTTATAAATAATAGCAGAAGTCTCCTGTGTTTTCATATCTATTTCAGAATTTCACCTCATGGAAGGTCATTATTTGTTAACTTTATGTTACGTGATATTTATTCTTTTTTTTTTTTTTTTTTTGGACAGCATCTCGCTCTGTTGCCCAGGCTGGAGTGCAGTGGTGCAATCTCAGCTCATGGCAACCACCTCTGCGACTGAGTTCCAGCAATTCTCGTGCCTCAGTCTCCTGAATAGCTGGGACTACAGGTGCCCACCACCACACCCGGCTAATTTTTGTATTTTTTTAGTAGAGAGGAGGTTTCCCCATGCTGGCCGGTCTGGTCTCGAAGTCCTGACTTCAGGTGATCCACCCACCTTTGGGCTCCCAAAGTGTTGGGATTACAGGCATGAGCTGCCATGCCCAGCCAGTAATATTCCTTTAAAGTGGTACAGGAAAAGCATGAACATGTGCATATTTCACTGCAGCCTACAATCTGACAGTTCTGGAAGAAATGTTCAGAAAAGACATCACATCTACTATTGCTGCAATCAAATATGTCGTTAATATGTTCATTATTGTGATTAAGAAGCATTAGAAGTGGAAGGCAATGCTACTGTTACAATCCTGCAGCCTGTTCTAACTCCTAGCAATAAGGAATAAATGCTCCAGAGGAAGTACTACCTGAGATCACAAAGAGAACCCTGGCAATGATGCCGCGCTCAAGCAAGTTCTGCCCACATCCTGGATTACATATCTCCTTGGGCTGCGCCTTTCTTTATCTAAACTTTCCATTTGTGTGTGACTGCCACCTACTTTTTAGGAGATTAGGGAGTGTGGAGTCCTGTGTGTGTGGTTAATGAGGACCAGAAGAATTTTGGATTTAATTTGGGGTTGAACTACAAAAGTGTGTCTTTAATCCTCTTCTGTTGCCTTGAATGACAGGAAATGACTGGGAAGAGGGCAGGTTGGGCAGGCCAGTGACAGTGTGCCAATCTCTGGAATCTACTAACAGAGGAGGAAGTTGGTGTCTCAAAGTAGAAGGAAGGTACAGGGATACCCTCCTTACTGGGAGGGAGGCGAAAAGATCGCCATAAAAGGCAGAGTGTCCTGCACAGAGAATGCCGAAGCCTCTCCACTCCCCTTAGGATAAAACCTAAACGTCTCAGCACAAGCGCAACGCCTCCTCTCGAGTTTGTAATTGATCTTCCCCTTACCTTTGTTGCCTTTTCTTCTGCACAGCTATTTTAGAAGCTTTAGGAAAATACAAACATGGTATTTTTAAAAATTCCTTATATAGTTAGATACAAACTCCAGTAGATGCGAGAAAGGATATGAAGCCTGAGATTCGCTCTAAAATATTCTAGCAAAAATATCGTAGAGGGATAGATGAAAAAGAATGGCACAGAATATGAATCTTTATTGAAGCAGGAGATAGTAAGATGAAGACTCATTATATTTCTCTCTCTGTTTTTCTGTTTATTTGAAATTTTCCACAATAAAAAAAATGTTTTAATGGGTGGTTAAAAATAGTAAAAATATAAAAGTACAGATTTCCAGATCCACACCCAGATCTAGGTCAGAGGATGGAGGTAGGTCCTCCACAGGACTGTGCCTAGGGTTGTGCACTGCACAACCACTGCAAACCAGGGTTTGCCTCCCAGTCTGCAAAGCTTTGTGTAATTATTACAATCCTTTCCCAGCAGATGGCACTAATTTCTCTTGAGGAAGAGGCACCTTTTCCTAACTCACACAGAGCCACCTCTGGGCTGATAGCAAGGCTGGTCCTCCAAGACTATCCCTGATGACTGAGTGTCTCTGGACAACACGATGAACAAGCTTGTTTGGGTCCGACTGCCCTACACGGCATGTCCCATCACTGCCATTCAAACACGCCGCCACTCTGCCTGGGCCGCAGTGTGAGGCATCTCCCTTACCACTGCTGCTGCCTTCTAGGGCACCCTTACACACCATGCCCACCCATCCTCATAGGATAAAGAACGCCCACTATAGAAAATTTAGAAAAT